ACAGCAGTGCTTGGGGACAGGCAGGAGCCCCCGCTCCCAGCAGCGTCCCCGCTGTCCCCACGCGGACGCCCACCCTCCCGGCGCGCTCACTTCATGCCCTGCTGGAAGACCGAGTTGCGACGGGTCTTGCAGATGATGAGGTCGGCCCATTGCACCACGACGATGCTGGCGAAGAAGGCCGTGTGGCACGTGAACTCCACCACCTTGCGCTGCTCGTACGTCTGCGGGGACACAGCGGGGACGTCAGCGCCGCGAGGCCACCCCATGGCGTGACCCGTATGGCATGACTCGGCATGGCGCAACATGGCAGCGCATGTCTCAGTGTGGCATGGCATGACTCAGAATGGCTTGGCATGACTTGGCATTGCCATGCTTCATGGCATGGCACAGCATGATCTTGGCATGCCTCTACCTGACTCAGCATAGAATGGCATGACTCAGCACAGCATGGTATGACTCAGCATGGCACAGCATGACCTTGACATGGCTCAACATGACTCAGCATGGCATGACTTTCATGGCACAGCATGACTCAGCACAACATGGCGTGACTCAGCATGGCACAGCATGACCTTGGCATGCCTCAACCTGACTCAGCATAGAATGGCATGACTCAGCACAGCATGGCATGACTCAGCATGGCACAGCATGACTCAGCATGGCACGGCATGACTCAGCATGGCACGGCATGACTCAGCACCGCACGGCATGGCTCAGCGCGGCTCCGCGTGGCGCTCACCCACTCCTGCCCATAGGAGTCCTCCAGGTCGTTGGTGGTGCGGTCGTCCCAGGCGAGGCGGATGCCCACCAGCGTGGAGGGCAGGAAGCCGTTCTCCGCCAGGATCACGAAGTAGGTGAAGAAGCCGCCCAGCGCCTGGATCATCCCTGCAGGCACCAGGCACCTCAGCCCCGGCCCGGAGCTGCCAGGGCACATGGGGACAGGGCACCGCAGATCCAGGTGCCACAAGGCGTTCTGGATTCACCGGTGGGCGCCCTGGCATCACTATTGAGTGCCCAGGTATCACGAGCAGGTGCCCTGTTTTCACAAGGGGTTGCTCAAGGTGCCACCATTTG